AATGTGAGGGGCGATCTAAGGGTTAACTGTGTGCTGGGAGTGTTTTACTAGGGGGGGGGCGGGGTCTGTGTGCTTCACTGTACTCACATTTTTATCTCATGGTCCCCAGCTATGAGACTTGAACTATTCTGAAGTTATCTCATGGTCCCCAGCTATGAGGCTTTGACTACACTGGAGCTCTCTCATGGTCCCCAGCTATGAGGCTTTGACTACACTGGAGCTCTCTCATGGTCCTCAGCTATGAGACTTGAACTATTCTGGAGCTATCTCATGGTCCCCAGCTATGAGGCTTTGACTATTCTGGAGCTATCTCACGGTCCCCAGGTGTGAGACTTGAACTATTCTTGAGCTATCTCATGAACTATTCTTGAGCTATCTCATGGTCCCCAGCTATGAGTCTTTGACTATTCTGGAGCTATCTCATGGCTCTCAGCTATGAGTCTTTGACTATTCTGGAGCTATCTCATGGCTCTCAGCTATGAGTCTTTGACTATTCTGGAGCTATCTCATGGCTCTCAGCTATGAGGTTTTTAACTGTCCTGGAGCTATCTCATGGTTCTCAGCTATGAGGTTTTAACTGTCCTGGAGCTATCTCATGGTTCTCAGCTGGGAGACTTTAACTATTCTGGAGCTATCTCATGATCCTCAACTGTGAGACTTGAACTATACTTGAGCTATCTCATGGTCCCCAGCTATGAGTCTTTGACTATTCTGGAGCTATCTCATGGCTCTCAGCTATGAGTCTTTGACTATTCTTGAGCTATCTCATGGTTCTCAGCTATGAAGCTTTGACTATTCTGGAGCTATTTCATGATCCACAGCAATGAAACTTCAACTATTCTGGAGCTATCGCATGGTTTTTAACTATGAGACTTTACCTAATCTGGAGCTATCTCATAGTCCCCAGCTATGAGGCTTTGACTATTCTGGAGCTATCTCATGGTCCACAACTATGAGACTTCGACTATTCTGGAGCTATCTCATGGCTCTCAGCTATGAGGCTTTAACTGTCCTGGAGTTATCTCATGGTCCCCAGCTATGAGGATTTGATTATTCTGGAGCTATCTCATGGTCCCCAGCTGTGAGACTGACTAATTTGGAGCTATCTCATGGTCCCCAACTATGATCAAATAGAGTTTTATTTAAACTACCTCATGGTTCCCAACTGTGAGAACTAGATTGTTCTACTTTTACCAAGAGAAGAGTGTCCTCTGCCAATTGTTCCTCAGCGTTTGGAGTATTCCAATCCCCTTTTTCCCCTCCTGTTAAAATTTGGCAAGCAGTAAATCTTAAAAAGACATCCTCTAGAGTGCTTAGTGGAGCCAGAGTGAAGGGACTGTGTGGCTGGTGGTCTCTGTACTGTTCGGGAAGGAATTAGTCAACTATAGCAGCTTTTAAAGGGGCAGCACTACAAATGTGTTATCCAAGTAGGGTCTGGGCAGGTAGCGATCAGAAAACAATCTGTTATCCAATTGAGGGTCACAGGGCTGTGGGCTTGTGATGTCCAACCACATTCACAGGAGAGTGTCTAAGTGCCTCTGGGAAATTAGAGCTGAGTGTTAGCAAGAGGCAGCCAACTAGAAAGCTGCTGGCCTGTGAGATTGGAGGGGCCATTGCCGTCAGTGAGTGGTGGGCTGCATGGGAGCGTTTCTCAAGATCAGGGGGAAAGAGGATTTGGTCCAGAAGTACTAGATTTCTGTGGTTCAGATAAGTGAACATCTGGAACTGGAGAGGAGGTTATGTCAATAGGGGGAAGGATAATTTCACTTTATGAGATCTCCAGTGTCCAGATTTCTCCTCCAAACAACATACCAGGTACAACACCACAGTCATTGCTTTCCTCCTTCGACCCGGTTACCACTGAGGAGGTTGGAAAACTCCTTTCTGAGGCCCACCTCACCACCTGTCCCCTGGACCCTGTCACCTCACAATTACTACAGCCCCCTTCCTTCTCTATCCTAAACTCTCTAACCCACATCTTCAACCTCTCCCTTTCCTCCGGCACCTTTCCCTCCCCGCTCAAGCATGCACTGGTCACCACCCACTTAAAAAACCCTCAGTGGACCCCACCTGTTTGATGAACTTAAGATCCATCTCCCTGCTCCGATTTGCCTCTAAGCTTTATGAATGCCTTGTATGAGTTCCACTGAAATTGCCCAAGTAAACCTCGCTAATGACCTACTGACTGCTAAAACCAACGGCCTTTACTTCATACTCATACTCTTAGACCTTCCCACTGCCTTTGACAAGGTTGACCACCCGCTCCTCCTCAATAAACTCCACTCCCTTGGCCTCCACGACTGCTCTTTCCTGGCTCTACTCTTAGCTATCCCAGCGCATTTTCAGCGTCACTTACAACATCATCTCCTTTGCTCCTCTTGATCTTTCTGTTGGGGAACCCCAAGGCTCTGTCCTTGGGCCCCTCCTATTCTCTCTCTACACCTCTTCCCTGGGTAAGTTGATAACCTCCCATGGCTTCCAATACCACCTCTAGGCATATAACACCCAGATCTTTCTCTCTACTCCTCAGCTCACCCCCTCGATCTCCTCACGTATCACAAATCTACTGAGTGAAATATGAGAATGGATGTCACACCACTTCCTCAAACTCAATATTTCCAAAACTGAGCTTGTGATATTTCCACCTCTCCGATCCCCCCTGGGGACTTTTCCATTGAGATCAACAGCACAACTATTGGTCCCTCCCCACATGGCTTTACCATTGAGGTCAACAGCACAACTATTGGTCCCTCCCCACATGGCTTTACCATTGAGGTCAACAGCACAACTATTGGTCCCTCCCCACATGGCTTTACCATTGAGGTCAACAGCACAACTATTGGTCCCTCCCCACATGGCTTTACCATTGAGGTCAACAGCACAATCACTGGTCTCTCATGCCAGAATGTTAGGTGTATTCCAAGACTCTGACCTCTCCTTTGGCCCCTTCATCCAATCATTTGGTTAAATCCTGATGCCTTAACCTTCACAACATCTCCTGAATTCTCCCCTTCCTGACTAACGATGCCACAAAACAACTTATTCACTCCTTGGTTATATCCCGCCTTGACTACAGTGGGGATCAAAAGTTTGGGCACCCCAGCTAAAAATTTGTATTAATGTGCATAAAGAAGCCAAGGAAAGATGGAAAAATCTCCAAAAGGCATCAAATTACAGATTAGACATTCTTATAATATGTCAACAAAAGTTAGATTTTATTTCCATCATTTACACTTTCAAATTAACAGAAAACAAAAAAATGGCGTCTGCAAAAGTTTGGGCCCCCTGCAGAATTTATAGCATGCACTGCCCCCTTTGCAAAGCTGAGACCTGCCAGTGTCATGGATTGTTCTCAATCATCGTCTGGGAAGACCAGGTGATGTCAATCTCAAAGGTTTTAAATGCCCAGACTCATCTGACCTTGCCCCAACAATCAGCACCATGGGTTCTTCTAAGCAGTTGTCTAGAAAACTGAAACTGAAAATAGTTGACGCTCACAAAGCTGGAGAAGGCTATAAGAAGATAGCAAAGCGTTTTCAGATGTCAATATCCTCTGTTCGGAATGTAATTAAGAAATGGCAGTCATCAGGAACAGTGGAAGTTAAAGCAAGATCTGGAAGACCAAGAAAAATATCAGACAGAACAGCTCGCAGGATTGTGAGAAAAACAATTGAAAACCCACGTTTGACGGCACGATCCCTCCAGAAAGATCTGGCAGACACTGGAGTTGTGGTCACTATTCCACTATAAAGAGATACTTGTACAAATATGGTCTTCATGGAAGAGTCATCAGAAGAAAACCTCTTCTACGTCCTCACCACAAAAATCATCGTTTGAACTTTGCAAATGAACATATAGACAAGCCTGATGCATTTTGGAAACAAGTTCTGTGGACCGATGAGGTTAAAATTTTACTTTTTGGCCGTAATGAGCAAAGGTACGTTTGGAGAAGAAGGGGCACAGAATTGAATGAAAAGAACCTCTGTCCAACTGTGAAGCATGGGGTTGGATCAATCATGCTTTGGGGTTGTGTTGCAGCCAGTGGCACAGGGAACATCTCACGAGTAGAAGGAAAAATGGATTCAATAAAATTTCAGCAAATTTTGGATGGCAACTTGATGCCATCTGTGAAAAAGCTGAAGTTAAAGAGAGGATGGCTTCTACAAATGGATAATGATCCTAAACACACCTGGAAATCCACGGGGGATTACATCAAGAGGCGTAAACTGAAGGTTTTGCCATGGCCTTCACAATGTCCTGACCTCAACATCATTGAAAATCTATGGATAGACCTTAAAAGAGCCGTGCGTGACAGACAGCCCAGAAATCTCAAAGAACTGGAAGACTTTTGTAAGGAAGAATGGGCAAAGATACCTCAAACAAGAATTGAAAGACTCTTGGCTGGCTACAAAAAGCGTTTACAAGCCGTGATACTTGCCAAAGGGGGCAGTACAAGATATTAACTCTGCAGGGGGCCCAAACTTTTGCAGACGCCATTTTTTTTGTTTTCTGTTATTTTGAAAGTGTAAATGATGGAAATAAAATCTAACTTTTGTTGACATATTATAAGAATGTCTAATCTGTAATTTGATGCCTTTTGGAGATTTTTCCATCTTTCCTTGGCTTCTTTATGCACATTAATACACATTTTTAGCTGGGGTGCCCAAACTTTCCATCCCCACTGTACTGCAACTCCCTCCTCACTGGCCTACCTTTACACAGGCCACGCCCCCTTCAGTCTATTAGGAATGCTGCTGCCAGGCTTATACACCTTACTAACTGATCCGTGACTGCTTCTCCTCTCTGCCAATCCCTCCACTGGCCTCCATTCAGTGTCCTCCACCCCTCTCTGCCAATCCCTTCACTGGCCTCCATTCAGTGTCCTCCACCCCCCTCTGCCAATCCCTTCACTGGTCTCCATTCAGTGTCCTCCACTCCTCTCTGCCAATCCCTTCACTGGTCTCCATTCAGTGTCCTCCACTCCTCTCTGCCAATCCCTTCACTGGCCTCCATTCAGTGTCCTCCACCCCCCTCTGCCAATCCCTTCACTGACCTCCATTCAGTGTCCTCCACCCCCCTCTGCCAATCCCTTCACTGACCTCCATTCAGTGTCCTCCACCCCTCTCTGCCAATCCCTACACTGGCCTCCATTCAGTGTCCTCCACCCCTCTCTGCCAATCCCTCCACTGGCCTCCATTCAGTGTCCTCCACCCCTATCTGCCAATCCCTTCACTGACCTCCATTCAGTGTCCTCCACCCCCCTCTGCCAATCCCTCCACTGGCCTCCATTCAGTGTCCTCCACCCCTTTCTGCCAATCCCTTCACTGGCCTCCATTCAGTGTCCTCCACCCCCCTCTGCCAATCCCTTCACTGGCCTTCATTCAGTGTCCTCCACCCCTCTCTGCCAATCCCTTCACTGGCCTCCACTCAGTGTCCTCCACCCCTCTCTGCCAATCCCTCCACTGTCTTCCACTAGCCCAACATATAAAATTCAAAATACTAACCACAACATACAAAGCCATCCACAACTCGGCCCCTAGCTACATCACCAACCTCATCTGCAGACATCACCCAAAGCGCCTTACTAGACCTCCTGCTCTCTAGCTTCCTTGTTACCTCCTCACATGCTCACCTCCAGGACTTTTCCAGAGCCTTTCTCATCCTCTGGAACTCCCTACCCCAGTATGTCAGGTCAGCCCCCACCATGATCCTTGAAACTTTTTTTTTTTTCAGGGAAACCTACCCCACCTCCACCTAAAAATCTGTTTTTGAAGTGATACTAAAGGCACTATATATATTATTTTAATAACAAGCATGTCATACTTATGTAGCGCACTCCTGAGTAGCTAGGGGGAGCTAGACTCCAATGGTTAGACAGGGGCTGAGTAGCAGCCCAGGTGGACTAGCCAGAGTGGGGTCAAATTGTGGTTAGGGCTGAGTGACTCTGCAGGCCAGCCCCTCTGGAATTTCCCCCTGCTCTGGAACTTTAGAGGGAATCCCTAGAGGCAGTGGGTGGATCTGAGCTGCACTCTTGAAGGACCTCAGCCAATCCCCAACAGAAAGCTTGGCAATGGGCTGGGACACCCTTAAAAGCGTAAAGCGTTGGAACCTTCTCAGTAGCAAGCGAGTGTGCGGGTAGAAGATGGAGAAGTGAGGTGGAGATGCCGGAGCCTGGGAGGAAGACAAGGCTGAAAGAGGCTCACCTCCAGGCAGAGGGACCATGAAGGGAAGAAAGCTATGGACTTCACTGGTCCCCTGAGAGAGGACCACCTGGCGGCAGGGAAGGAGTGGCCCAGCTGATAGGCCTGGTAGTAGCCACCGACCCAACAGCAGCACAGGAGAAGGACTCGGTGAGTACTTCTACACCCCCTGGGCCAGAAAGGGGTGAGAACATTTGGGTGGGGAACCTGACTAGCTCTACACCCGGGAATGTTACATTTCAAGTGGCAGCTTGGACTCCCTTGCCCAGGGATTCCTCCAGACAAGCTGGGTAAAGAAGAGGATTTATCTGGGGTCTGGGGTGGTACACCAGGAGAGGTTGCAGAGTTCTCCCTTTGGCATCCCATACACCCCGTACCCTATCCAAGTTCTACATCCCCAATAAAACTTCAAAACAAAGCCCAAGGACTGGTTTTCTGTCTCCTGAAGCAAGTCTGAATAGAAGATGTGTGATGCCTGTGCAGGACTATAGGGGGCCCCAATTCTTCAGTGACTCCTAAGGGGGTAGTGCTACACTTACCTGCTCTGTAATGGTTTTGCACAGAGAAACCTCCTCACAGGTCCCCCGCCGGAGCTCCTGGCCCCTTCCTCCTGCCAAGTGCCCCCAGAACAAGCAGCTTGCTATGGGGACACCAGAGCAGGCTTGCTCCCGAGCCACTGCTCTGCGTGTCCATTCACTTACGAAGCCATGGCTTGGCACCATCCCTTCTCTCTCCTCACTGGCTCACTGATTGACAGCAGCAGAGGCCAATGTCTCCCGCTGCTGTCAATGAGAAGGGAGAGTCCTCGGAGAGCAGAGGCTCTCGTGCACATCACAGGATCGATGTGTACTAGTAGGGATGACTGGGGGTATTTGTGCTAGGAGGGGAAATTGAGAGAGGATTTGTGCTAGGGGGGAGGATTTGGTGGGGTTTGTGCTAGAAATGGTGACTTTTTTTTGTGGGGGGGTTTGTACTAGTAGAGATGATTGGGGGTATTTGTTCTAGGAGGAGAATTTTGGGGGGAAGGGGGGATGGGGAATTGGAGTGTGGAAATTTGTGATGGTAGAGGGGGATTTGGAGTGGGGGATTTGTGCTCAGAGGGGGAATTTTTTTGGGGGGGATTTGTGCTCAGAGGGGGAATTTTTTTGGGGGGGATTTGTGCTCAGAGGGGGAATTTATTTGGGGGGATTTGTGCTCAGAGGGGGGAATTTTTTTGGGGGGGATTTGTGCTCAGAGGGGAACATTTGAGGGGTAAAGGATTTGTACTAAGAAGGGGATTTTTTTGGGGGGATTTGTGCTCAGAGGGGGAATTTTTTGGGGGGGGATTTGTGCTCAGAGGGGAACATTTGAGGGGTAAAGGATTTGTACAAAGAGGGGGATTTTTTTGGGGGGGATTTGTGCTCAGAGGGGAACATTTGAGGGGTAGAGGGGGAATTTTGTTTTTGGGGGTGGGGGGATTTGTGCTGGAGCATATGAGGAGAGGGATAGGATTTGAGCTGGGAAGATGGGGGGGGGGGGGGCAAAAGTGTTGGGAGGATTTCAGTGGGGGGGCACACTCATACTGGGAGGAGGGGGATTTATGTTTAGGGGTAAGCATGTGCTCGTTTTTCTTGGGGGGGATGTTTGCTGCCACATAATACTCATACATCTTGGGGGGGTACAATTGGCATGTTCCCCCCCCCCCCCCCCCCCCGGCTCTAGAGATGAGTCCTGAGCACTGCAAGCAAGGGGTCATGAAATCGGTGAGCTTGGCATGCCAGTAACAAAAAACGTGTAAACTTTTGCGCTCCGAACGCCCGCCTGCCCCCGCCCCCGCCTGCCCCCGCCTGCCTGCCCTGCCCGCCTGCCCCGCCTGCCTGCCCCGCCCGCCTGCCCCGCTATCTGCGAGTGTCAATGAGGTCTTATAAACGACTAATGGCGCTTTTTGGTCCTATTTGTCTTTCATTCGTGTGGATTACCGAGACGTCCCGTTCTTTTCTTTTCTTTTTTTTTGTTTTGTTTTGAACTTTGTGGACTTTTATGTTTTTTATGTTTTTTTGTTTCTCGGCTGAACCGCGTTGCTCTCTGTTCGGATCGGCGTGAGGTTAGAAGTCACAAAACGCGTTTCACACACATAATGCTTAAACACGCTGAAACGAAATTCCGTGTTATGATGACAAAAGCATTCCCGTGTTTCAGTGTTTTCAGAGCCGGCGGAGAACAAGACCTCCTCATTCATCGTTCTTCATATCTTCTGAGGATACAATAAAAAACGAGAAAAGCTTTTTGTGCCGTTCAGACGCTCCGAGCCGAAGAGACGGAAAAATGCAGGAAAATAAAAAATCTACAGAACGTGTTTTCCCTTGTTGTATATATATATATATCTGGTCGGGGGAGTCAGGCACATTCAGTGAGATGAAGAGCGGCGAGGTGCGCTGCGGTCAATCGGACTTCGCTGTGCTGCGGGAGGTTTGTTCCTGATTGGTTGCTGCGGGTTTGTGAACTTCAATTCTGTAGGGTTACACTCTGAGATCACATGACCAAAATGATGGGTTGTTGGGTATGTCAGCAGCACTGGAGGGAGCATGGGGCATTTTTTACTGGGGGAGGAGACTGAGGAAATGCTTCCTCCTTCTTTTACAAAGTTACAATGTACAGTCTGATCACTGGGGGAGGGGAGACTGAGGAAATGCCTCCTCCTCCTTCTACAAAGTTACAATGTACAGTCTGATCGCTGGAGGAGGGGAAACTGAGGAAATGCCTCCTCCTCCTTCTACAAAGTTACAATGTACAGTCTGATCACTGGGGGAGGGGAGACTGAGGAAATGCCTCCTCCTCCTTCTACAAAGTTACAATGTACAGTCTGATCACTGGGGGAGGGGAGACTGAGGAAATGCTTCCTCCTCCTTCTACAAAGTTACAATGTACAGTCTGATCACTGGGGGAGGGGAGACTGAGGAAATGCCTCCTCATCCTCCTACAAAGTTACAATGTACAGTCTGATCACTGGGGGAGGGGAGACTGAGGAAATGCCTCCTCCTCCTTCTACAAAGTTACAATGTACAGTCTGATCACTGGGGGAGGGGAGACTGAGGAAATGCCTCCTCCTCCTTCTACAAAGTTACAATGTACAGTCTGATCACTGGGGGAGGGGAGACTGAGGAAATGCCTCCTCCTCCTTCTACAAAGTTACAATGTACAGTCTGATCACTGGGGGAGGGGGGGGACTGAGGAAATGCCTCCTCTTCCTTCTACAAAGTTACAATGTACAGTCTGATCACTGGGGGAGGGGAGACTGAGGAAATGCTTTCTCCTCCTTCTACAAAGTTACAATGTACAGTCTGATCACTGGGGGAGGGGAGATTGAGGAAATGCTTTCTCCTCTTTCTACAAAGTTACAATGTACAGTCTGATCACTGGGGGAGGGGAGACTGAGGAAATGACTCCTCCTTCTACAAAGTTACAATGTACAGTCTGATCACCGGGGGAGGGGAGACTGAGGAAATGACTCCTCCTCCTTCTACAAAGTTACTTACCTTTTCGTGGAGCAGGTCCGGTGTCACCCCGTGCGGTAGGTGTCACTCCCAGTGTCCCAGTGTTGTGCGCACCCCCCGCAGCTGCCTCGGGACGCCACTGCATTCAACCACGCAAAACGCACTGCAGAACACGCCGGGAAAATGCATCAACTGGAACCTGCATAGATGTGAACCTGAAAATGGCTCCCAAGTGAACCCAATGTGGTTAATGGCAGCTGGCGACAGTGGAAGTGGCAGTTGCGGTGACACCAGTTCCATTTGTTGGCTCTGATCGGGTCGGGAAATCGGCCCATTGAGGAGACCTCTAGCAGCCTCCGCCGTTTTCTGTGCGTCTACATAGCAATTACACCCCTGCAGCAGCATTGAGAGCCATCAGGATGGGAAGAGCTGTTCTCATTAACTCCGACTCTCATGGAAATGATTACTAATGAGCAATCGCACGCTCGCCTCTCCCCGCTGATAATTAAATTAGGTGAAAATGCCGGGGATGGACTTTTACCGCAGGTGTCCTCTGTGTGCGTCCTTCACCGTCGCAGGTGAACGGGGGAGGGGGGGGGGACGAACAGTGAGAGACGCACACAGTCCGCATACGCATACAATTCTCCATTTTCTGGGTTCCTTCTTAGGGCTCACTCTGGCGGCGACATTT